TCCTGGTCCGGTATGTTCTTTTAATATTTCAGTGTCATCTTGTTTGAAATTAGGTGGCATCATTATTATTAATTACTAATTATTATTATTATCAATTATTGCTTATCGGTTATTATTAATACTGATACATTTCCTGCCATGTAAAGGCCAAGTTGGCTGAGATTTTAAAAACTGGGAGGGTCTTCAGGTTGATAACCTCTGCAATATTTATTGATGACTAAATGAGCCATTTTTTAGCAGGAAGCTTTGCTAACATTCTAACCGTCGTGTTAGAATGTTAGCAAAGAGAAAAAACTAGAGAAAATGACAAAATACAAAGTCCTGCAAATAGAAATAGAACGATTGTGGCAAAAGAAAGCACAGGTAGTATCAATGGTCACAGGTGCTTTGAGTGCACAAATATCACAAACACCATTAGCATTGGCAAAATCCACACAGTCAATTGAAAAAGTACATTTCACTTGGAACAACTTACATCTGGTGACAATATCTGAAACACCATCAAACAACAAGATCAGCCTGTCCCAGATGTTTAGACTGGATTTGGCATCTTCACCTTTTGAAGACGCAAAAGGTGAAGATGCCAAATCCAGTCTAAACATCTGGCTGACTGTGTGACCATCCATTGTAATAATTTATTAAATTTCTATGCTGCAATTTCTCTGTTGCCTAACTCACCCACTGATTCTGGGCAGCTTGCTGGGTTGCAGTAGGAATATATATATCTATGGATGAAAGTAAACACAGCAGAGTTACGAGAGGGCTGCAAAGGCAGGCAGGAGTGATAAGATTAGTAAATTATTAAAAACAACTGGATACAATCTCCATGGGAAAGAAAAAAACAACTACCCTTGAAACTTGTGGCTTGGCTTTGCAAGATTTAGGCTTCCGGATCTGGATGAGCAGCAGGAGGTAGCCAGGATGCTGAATTCATAAAGTGCTTTTTACTTTGATTTTCACAGCCCCCACTATCCTTTTCAGACTTCTATTAATTGACTCAGTTTAAAGAATTCTTTCTTTCTCTCTCTCTTTCCCTTGCCCCCACTTTTCCTCCTCCCTTTCCTCCCTCCCCTCCCCCTCTCTTTTTCTCCCTTTTCCCCTCTCTCCCTCTCCCCCCCTCTCCCTTTCCCCCACCCTCTCCCTCTTCTCTCTCTTTTCCTCTTTTTCTTTCCCTTTCTCCCTTTCCCCACTCCCTTCTCCTCTCTCTCCCTTTCCCTCNGTCACGGCTGCTGCTGTGTTGCAATATTTTCAGGGAGGGCTTATTTTAGCACATGTGCTCAAAAGCTCAATTGGGCTTATTATCCAGGGAGGTCTTATTTTCAAGGAAACAGAATAATGATGGAAAGAGATAGAGAGAGAGAGATAGAGAGAGAGAGAGAGAGAGAGAGAGAGAGAGAGAGAGAGGGAGGGAGAGAGAGAGAGAGAGAGAGAGAAGATTTGGGGTTTGGGGATTTTAAGGCAGAAGCATGTACTTTTATAAGGGGGTTTGCATGGATGGCAACTATAGAAGAGCAAGGACCAACTCATACATTCTCAATTTACAGCTATAACTAGGCCTGGCAGTTATAATTGTCACTCCTGTTTGGTCATTTTTGCAACCTTTTTTGTGGCGGTCATTAACTGAACACCATGTTTATTTAGTGGACCCACTGTCTGCCATGGGCTGGTTTTTAGAAGTAAAGAGGTGTGGTGTGGTGGCTTTTAAATTGTGGATTTTTAACAGTGGGTTTTAACGCTGAACAACCACCCAGAGTAACCGCCCATGAGTTGGACAGCTCTATAAAATTGTTTAATAAATAAAAAAATAAACAAATAAATAAAACTTGAGCATAAGCACAGAACAGCAACGTGAAGAAAAGCCTGCAAATGTTATTGCAATCTTTTTTTTAAAAAAAACTCAAATTAAATGTACAGCTACACCCGTGATGGAGAAGCTATGGCATGCGTGTACAATGATCAGCTGGCCTTCGTGCGGGCAGCAGTGCCGGAAACAGGAAGAGCAGGTGTTCCATTTTTCGGCATGTGCGCCAGCCAGACGATTATCAGACACACAGGTGCACCAGTATCCAGAAAAACAGCATCTATGCCTGAAACTGGAAGTTCCTTTCCCGGGGCGCACATGTCCCCCTGGGCAGCTCCTCTTCCTGGTTGCGGCCCAGACAAGCATGTGCATGCTCCCTTTTCGGCACTCAGTGCCAAAAAGTTTTGCCATCACTGGGCCAGATCAAGCATTAAGATCAGAAAATGAAAAGGGGGAAAACAACCCAGAATCAATTGTCCATTCCATCCTTGTTCACTAACATCTGGCTTTGAAGCCCACTGAGTTCCATGTTCTTCATAAAATGTCTCAAACGTGCACCACAAATTATGGTCCACCTAACTCAATGCAGCTTGAAAAGAAAAAAAAAAAAACAGAATCTGGAAGACCACTGATGGCTCATCATTCAGAATTAACAGAATAACAGAGCTGGGAGGGACCTTAGAGGTCTTCTAGTCCAACCCCCTGCTCAAGCAGGAGACCCTATAACATTTCAGATGACTGGTTGTCCAAGGTCTTCTTTAAAACCTCCAGTGATGGAGCATCCACAACTTCAGGAAGCAAGTTGTTCCACGGATTAAGGGGAAAACCAGGAGGAACTTTGAGCTACGAACTCTTGCTCATACTTGTGGCTACACCTGGCTGAGAGTTTTGAAGTTCTCACTCACCTTGACTTACTGGACCGAAGTGGCTCTGATGCCATGGAGATGCCAGGGTGGTTGCACACCCTTCCTACCAACCAGGAGTGGGAGAAGCTGGGAACAGCTTGGCTCCCATGTCCTTCTCCTTCTCTCCTGCTCACCACCTCCCTCCCTTGCACAACTTTTGAGCTTCTGGCCTGGATGCAATTGTGACACCACTAACTATGGCTGAGTCATGTGTGCTTCTCACTTGGTCTGATGTCACACTGGTTACTGGTGGGTGCAAATCCCTTTCGGAGAACTAGCAAGTGACTCATAACTACGGGAGGGTGGTCATAAGATGATGCCTTCATTTGGACCAATCAAAACGGTGCAAATGTGAGATTACACTCTTGTTTCTCCACCTTGGCCACTGTAAGATGTGTGGACTTCAACTCCCAGAATTCCCCAGGCAGCAGCTGCCTTCTGATTCCTTCTCTTCAAGTGCATTGAGTTGGAGGGGGACCAGCATTTTTGGTCTATGTTTTGAGACATTTCAGGAAGAACATGGACATCAAAGCCAGCTGTTATTGACACCACATCCTATCTATTCTCCACTGACCGCCCCCCCAAACTCTCTGCCAATTTTATCCAAACCCATTCTGCAATGTCATATTCGAAATGCCCCAACCTGAAGAATATCAGCTGGACTAGTGACAGCTAACCTTTCTGTTGTTACGGGCCGAAAGTGCGCATGCAACAGCACAAACACATGCACACACCCATAATGCAATGTGTGCATGCCCCCCCCTTGCGATCCACCCCTACGCATGCACACATGACCCCTGCGCTCCCCTGACTACCACCCCGCGCATGCATGGGCGACCCCCATGCATGCACAGTAGAAACCGAAAACCAGCTGGCCAGTGGGAGGTGGGCATGCAAGCCATCACCCCAGCGCAGCTCCACTGCGCATGCAGTGGATCAAGTGTAGTATCTTGTAATCCCTTCCTCTGCAATCTCTCCACTTAGATCAGAGGTCTTCAAACTTGGCAACTTTAAGACTTGTGGACTTCAACTCCCAGAATTCTCCGGCCAGCATAATTTATTCTCTTGTAATCCCTTCCTCTGCAATCTCTACACTTAGATCAGAGGTCTTCAAACTTGGCAACTTTAAGCTTTNCAAAACTGGATGCAATATAACAATTGAAATCAGAATTTCCATGGCTAAACAAGGGAATGAGGGTGTTAAGTGAATTACGCTGCAGCTTAAATGATTTGCATCTAATTTTAAGGGTTTTTTTGTCACACTTTTTAAGTGCATCACATGTAAATCCAATAAGTGAATCATATGGTCATTAGGTGACTCTATTTCTCTCACTTGTCCGAAGGTCGCAAATGGTGATCACACGACCCTGGGATCCTACATCTGTGGTAAATACAAATAGTCCTCAACCTATGACCAGAAGTGAGCCCAAATTTTCTGTTAAATGAGACATTTGTTCAGTGAGTTTTGCCCCAATTTACAATCTTTCTTCACAGCTGTTAAGTGAATCATTGCAGGTATTAAGTTAGTAACACAGTTGTTAAGTGGATCTGGCTTCCCCACTGAACTTGTCAGAAAGTCGCAAAAGGGGGCATCACAGAACCTCAGGACACTGCGACTGTCATAAATATGAGTCAGTTGCCAAGTGTCTGAATTTTGATCATGTGATCATGGGGATGCTGCAATGGTCGTAAGTATGAAAAATGAACTGTTGTAAGTCGAGGAGTACCTATACATGCTGGCTGCCAAAAGCCCAAACTTTGATCCCATGACTCGGTATACTGCGATGGACGTAAGTGGGAGGACTATTCACCTTTTCAGTGCCATTTTATCTTTGAAAGGTCAGTAAACAAACAGTTGTAAGTTGAGGGCCACCTGTACCCCACACTCCACCCTCTGGTTAAACCCACCCAGGCCCAAATGCTCTTTTAACTTTGAAAGAAAATCTGGAAGGAATTTCCCCCCCCCCCATCAAACTGAGAACAGGCAGGAGAAAATCAAGAGATAATGTTGCAATCCTTCTTTCTATTTATACATGTTCGTTCATCCCTACCAATATATTGTTAATTTCTAACTCCTGTGTCTGAAGGATTGTAAATTAAGGACTGTATATAATAGTATCCTATGTATAGACAAAGGGGGGAGAAGTACGTTTACAATGGATGTACACTGAGGTGGAAATGTACAGAAGGAAATTGCAAACAATAATTTTTTTCAAAAAAAAAAAGAGATAATTTTGCAACACAGCACGGAATGGAAGGTGTTTTGTTTAAGAAACAGCACAGAAAGTTCCAGGTTTCCTCAAACTGCAAGTATTTTATTTGTAATATTTTATCTCTCATTGGTCAGTGACTGTTAATACTTCCATACAATTCCTACCCCAAAGGGAACTCATTCCAAACATCTCATTTTCCTCCACACCCTCCTAAAAGTTAAATACTGTTCAGGCCTTTTTTTTATTTTCCCGCTGGACAAAGAGAAAAGGCGTTTTGAAACGAAGATGAACTACAAACTGCAAACCTCAAACCTTTAAATATGTGCATGCACACAACAGCTGTGATAGCAGAGATTGTCACCTGAAGAAGCCAAAAAAATGATTTCAAAGTTTGAATCAGGTAAGGGTGTGTGGGGGGGGGGGTACATGTAGCAAGCCGCTGCCAGAAAAGCTGATGTGTATATTTTTGATAAAAATAAAAATAAAAGGAACTAACACACATTCAACCAAAACACTAGGTGAAAAAAAGTTTGCATGGCAAAAAGGCAGCTTTTGGTTGCTTTTTTAGCTGTCCTAAAATATTCAAGAACATCAAATTATAGGAACACAAACCCTTTGTAGGTATTTCCTCAAGCTATTAACCTTGGTTTCCCTAATCCAAAAAGAAAGAAAAAAACCAGTAAAATCAGTAATTTTCTGCTATAAAGCGAAGAAGCATTCTCTTACATTGTTTGCTCCTAAACTACCACCAAAGCAGGAAACCTCTTGACCTTAGCCTTCTTCAATCTGATCTATTCAGATGTGTTGGGACTTCAACCACTACGCTGCACAGCCAGCCTGGCCTGCTGAGTGGGAAGTTTGCGTTTTGAAAGGTATCAGATTGAGGAAGGACCACCCAGAGGGATCATCTTTTGAACATATGGATCGGTTCCAACTTCTCCTCTTCAGATGAGATCTTTCTAAGATCTTTTGGGTATCCTGCTCAATGGGGAAAAAAAAAAACACACACACATTCAAATTGTAAAGCAAAAGCTAAACATTTGCTTTCCTGCCAGCCCAAACACTACTGACTTTTTCCACTTTTTAATTTATATACTTTGAAAATCATGGTGCTATTTCTTTTTATTTTATTAAAAAAGGGTTTAATCTGGCTACCTTTGGAACCCTGCTTTCAATTACACAATCTGCAGAAAACTCATCGGGCTTGGCTACTCTAAGTTGTTGAACACAATCCAATAGTCCTCTTCAATCAACATGGCTTCAGAACTCCCTCTAGGAGTTGACCACGTGTCCTGACCACGTCTCATGTTTCGTGCCCGGAGCTAGGTGGGTGATGTTGACCTCTACAGCTTGAAGTTTCTCGTTCTTTGGTGGAATGGTGCACACCTTGTAGGTGACCTCATCACCAGCTACCGGAACATACTCTCCTTCAATGCTGTAAGAGAAGGGAAGGAGACCATGATAACGTTAATGGAAGGGAATCGGCTGTCCCAATGCACCACCTCCCATCAGGACTATGGGGATTCTCAGTCATAGTTGCCCCAAAGGTGCTTTTCAAGGGGCGTCTGACAGAAGTCTGCCAAAATCTTTCGGGATAAGGCTGATAATCACCCACCTTTATCTCCCTTGAAACACTGCCAAAGACCTGATTGGCAATTAGTTTGCAAGGCCACATGGAGCAGAGTCAAAAAGGAGCTTCAGAATTTAAACTGATCAGAACGAACAAAGTTGCTTCCTGCAAAGGTTCACGTGCCTTTCCTCCTCTTTTATGTCCTAGGGGAGGAGCCAATCACCTCCAAGCCTTATTTCCGAGTTGTCCCTTTTGTCTTAACTGTTCTTGCCTTCAGGCAGCTCTGCACATGCGCACACTGGGAACAGGCTCCCCCTGTTCCTCTGCCTCACTGATGTCTGGCTCTGGAGGCAGCACATAACTTCCAGGGCTCTGCCTTGGATGCAGAGCCGTCGTCAGAGCCTTCCTCAGACTCCAGGACTGGCCCATGTTCCACCCCAACTTCCTCACTGTCCGACTCTGCTGCCAACTCCGCAGGCTGCTGGTGGACCACAATATTTCCCTTCTCATCCAAGAAGCTTCTTCAGGTTCTGAATGAAGAAGCTTCTTAAATGAGAAGCGAAACATCTTCAAGGAAAAACTAAGAAAGTCCAGTTGCCTCTTGAAAAATCACCTTTGGGACGCCTCCACCAGGCTTAGCTTCTTCTCATCCACCATCCAACCCACACCATGTACCAGAAAACTAAGATCAATCGTCTGGTCTAATCTGAACACCAGTATATGAAAAGAGCTTGCAGCTGGATTAAGGCCATGAGCCCAACTCCTCCAAGGATAGGCAACTTGGTGTCCACAGAAGTTCTGGATTTTCCCAGCCAGCCAAGCCAGCAATGCCAAAAAAGTGTGGAAGAGTCAAACATCTGGAGGATCCAAAATAGCCTATGCCTCGTCCATCCAAATTCTTTGCTTCTGAAGTGGTCAACCAGGGTTATTCAGAATCCTCACAAACATGGATAGAAATACGGTTATTTTTTTTCACTGTTGCCCTGTATTGGCAATAAAGGTAAAGGTAAAAGTTCCCCTCGAACAACTGTGCTAGTCGTTCCTGACTCTAGGGGGCGGTGCTCATGTCTGTTTCAAAGCCAAAGAGCCAGCGCTGTCCGAAGACGTCTCTGTGGTCATGTGGCCAGCATGACTCAACACCAAAGGTGCACGGAACGCTGTTCCCTTCCCACCAAAGGTGGTTTCTATTTTTCTACTTGCATTTTTGACCTGCTTTCAAACTGCTAGGTTGGCAAAAGCTGGGACAAGTAACGGGAGCTCACTCCTTTATGCGGCACTAGGGACCTTTCTGATTGACAAGCTCAGCGTCTTAGCCACTGAGCCACAGTGTCCCCGTATTGGCAATATGGAAGACTATTGTTATTTCAAAGAGCATAGTCTAGAAAAGGGGTGTCAAACTCGATTTCATTGAGGGCCGCATTAGGGTTGTGTTTGACCTCGGGGAGGGGGGCATGGCCAGGGTGGGCATC